CAATTAGTGGAATAAATATAGGTCTTATAATAGGCATGAATTGACTACTCAATTAGTGGTCTTATAATAGGCATGAATGGATTGCACAATTAGTGGAATAAATATAGGTCTTAAAATAGACGTGAATTGATGGCACTTAATGCCTACAATTCTCTTTGTCTTTTTTGTGTACGTTTTCTTTTTTTTCGGTATGCATTGGTTAGTATAAATTGGGTGTTGTGTTGCAATATAACACACACTCCAAACTTGTATTCTTTCCTCTTTCAAAATAATACAAAGAGAATTCCCAAAAGTCTAGTCTTATTTTCTTTCAATTTGTTCTTCAGCGATTCATTAAATTGAAACCAACAAATTATTTATGTCATTAAAGGTCAATTCATCAATGGTCACTTCATAGAAGACAGAAGGCCGCTCCTCACTAGGGCACTCGAAATCTAATACTTTGAGATTTTTCATTTTGTTTGCAATTGATGTGCTACGCAATCGAGCAAGGACGTTCCCTAGTTTCTAGTTTTGTGTGCTTCAAGTAGAGCCAGTGGTGGTGAGAGTATTTATCAATAAAGAAAATATAATAAAGGTATCCATTATTAGAAATAGTTAGGCAGGGCCTCCATATATTTGAATTTATAATAGCTAAGGGTTGCACACTAAAAGAGGTAAAAAAAAAAGAAGAGTAATATGTGGTTTTTTTTTTTTTTTTTTTTTTTTTTTGTATTGCAAGAATTCTAGGATAGTTTGATGGGCTTAATAAGTAATGGGCAGCTTGTGTGGGATAGGAGTTGCATTTTTTAGCATTGAGGATGTCCTAGTTGATGATGCCTAATTCTTGCACTAGATTTTGTACTGTTCAAAGTTATTTTTTTGAGTATTTTGTTGTAATTCATATTGAGTTTCGTCTGCTAAAATCGTTTCCTCACTAAAGAAATTGTCAAGATTTAAGGGCTATATTTTGGTTCTGATAGCAGCCTTGAAGGCTTGGTATGTGGATGGGATTCCATTTAGTGTGTATTGTTAATAGGAGATCTAGCAATTGAAATCACATTAATCTTTGATTTAATGGTGGAGAAGTAGTAGGTTATAGAGTTTGATGCATGCTAAGAAATTCACAGTGGTAGAGTAATGGATTATCATCTTAGCATTACACAAAATTTGAACAAACACTCAGATAAAAAAAACTAGTAGTGACACCAAAATTTTTTATGTGAAAAGCCGGTAATGATAAAAAACCATGCGGCCTAGCCCAGCTAAATAAATTCATTATAGACTTGATATTACATGTACAGTCCCTCGTCTCACAGGCAAAATAGGGTTAAACAGTCTTCGAAGTTACAACGTTGGTGCATGAATAAACTTGTTGTAAGAAGTGAGCAGCGACCGATGGCGATCGGCGGAAGCCAGAAGGTGGTGGTCGACGACAGTTGGCTGTGGTTAACGACGGTCGGCGATGATCGACAATGATCGAAGGCGGTCAACGATGGTCGACGGTGACTGGAGTGATGCCGACTTCAACTCCTCAAAACTTCAGGCTTCAAGTTCTTTTTTCCTCATGAGAGATGTGGGGCTCTATTTATAGTATTCTAAGTGTAATTAATGCAGAAAGATAAACCACTTTAATCGGACGGTCCTGAGAGTTTCTTTCAATCAAACAATGTCTGATGGATATTTGAGTGCCTTAACGATGTTGGGAGCAATCTTGGGCTCGTAAGATTCGTCTTGTTGAGACGCTTGATTCGATTATAGGCTTGCTAGATTCAGCATGTGTTTAACCTTCAAAATATGTTTGGATAGCTTTCAAGAGTGGTTTAATGATTTGATCTGAGCTTGATTTGACTCGGATTAGACTATTTGTTATATCATTGGGCACGTCTCGTCGAGCCGGTCAGTTGGAGTATAAGTTTGTTGAAATCGGAGCTCTGAATGACTTTTTATCAAAATTTAAATATTTTTTGCTCAAAAATTTGTCTCGAGATTGTTGTCATGCCTCGAGATTAGTGCCAATTGATGAGAAATTACCGAGGCATAACAGAGGTTTTATCTTCAATGGAAATATTAGAGAGCTCTTTTTTAGCTGAATAACGAGGTCTCGGTTCATTATTGGAGCCTATGTTCAATGGTACACTAGATCTCCTTACATGATTCTATGTTTAGAACTTAATGAGAGAATCGATGGAGACATGGTGGAATAAAGTGCGGCTGCCAGGTTTTGATGAATGAGAAATCCTAGAGAATTGTTCAGATTTTATTTGGTTGATCCAGCAAATAGGGTAATCTGAGGAGTTGTCCATGTCTATTTACAATAAGATATGCACATAAATCAGTTATAAGGTTAGAAGAAGTGAAAGCCCTCAATGAAACAGCTATCCTAAAGACAAATTAAGAGGACATGGTTTATGAAATGCGAATCATGGCCATAGTGATATTTGCAATAAGAGAATTGTTTTGATTAAGAATAAAAATTCAATAATCAACAGCATGTCATTTAAGAAAAAAATAGTTCTGGAGCATTATAGTTGTCCCAATTCAGCGTCAGCAAAGACTTACCGCTCACGCAGATCAGAAGCCACGTGAAAAATTCATATGATAATGATGCAGTTCAGCGGTTCCAGCTAGGACTTCCAACTTGTAACTCCTCAGATTAGTCAAAAGTCACCGCCGCGCAGCCGACATCCCAAGCCAACGCTACTTCTCTCATCACCACATATATATCTACACACACACACATATCCTAAACTTCTCCTAGTACAAATATTTCACGCAATTCATATGTATTATATATCTAATACTTTTGAACTTTTACATGCCTTAATCACTCTTAAAAAAAATTGTCAGCACTTATTTAAAGGCATTTTAAAAAATACTATTAAAAATATTTATGAAATAATAAGAATTTTTATCTTTATGATTATGTATTACATTCCTAATACGCAAAGTTCAGTTTTTTCATAGAAACAACACAGTGCTCAATTCTTATGTATTACATATCTGACATCTAAAGCTTAAATTTTATATTTAACCAAGCCATTCTTATGTATTGAATATCCAACTCCTAACCTTCAATTTTTAAAACCGTTTTACACAATTCATATTTAATACATATCCAACACCTATACTTCAATTTTTTCATGCATTCCACTCATTACATATGCATTACATGTCTAACACCCACACTTTAGTTTTCTCATAGAAACGACACAATTCTCATCTATTACATGTCTAAAACATAAACTTCAATATTTACATATAAATCACACAATTCTTATATATTACTTATCGAACAATGAAACTTCATTTTTCACACGAAAACAAACATATGTTCAGAAAAATAATGAACGGGAAGGTCCAAATAAGTGAGGAGAAGTTTACCTTAGTTTGGAGGGAAAAAGTACTAACCAGAGCCACGATTTCAATGGTGAAAACTCCCGTGAGAGGGTGGACACTTGTGCAGAACTCCAAGCCCCCGGAGCCCTAAGCTATGAAATAGCACAAGCATGAATGAGGCTAAACCATATGAGATTAGAATTTTAGAGCATTGGTGTCGGATTTGTGTGAGACTATTTCAACACAAATTAATTAGCATCGGAAATATCATTTGAATTTGCTTCATTATTAAGTAATTCTTTTGAGTTGCCAATTTATCGACGCAAATTGTTTGCATTCATGGATTGGTGACACTAAAGTTGACACAAAGTGTTTGAGTTGATAGTGTTCTACGCACAAGTCATTACTAATCTTTTTCTATAAAAACGGATGCTAATCTGATGCTATATGTTGCATACAAAAATTTATAACGCTAAAACTGCCTCTAATTAGTTAATTTTTTGTAGTATTATTAAGTCATTAATAAATGAAGACCCAATTGAGTAAAACTTGAGTTTATCCTAGGTTTGGGATCCAAAGTAGAGCTTCTTATGCTTATAGTATTACCATGCTTCAAGTAAAACTTATTTCTTCAAGAGTTTTCTTATTTGATTCAAATGAGCCTTAATGGGTCATTTGGTAAAATTCAATCGATCAAATTCCCAGGTGAACTTAAAATTATCAAGACATGATCTCCATTTGGCTCGTTATAATGGATGATGATGATTGCTAGTAGTGGTTATTGGTGTTGAAAATCCAATAAAGCCATAAGATTTTTAGGATTTTCAAGATCTCCTTAATATAATGTATATATCCCCTTTTTATGGAGAATAGATATCTATTTATACATTTGAGAGACATTTTAGTTATTTTGCCTAAAGTTCTAAAGCTCCCTAAAGCTCCGTATTAGAAGGCCCGTATTGGCAACTTACGTTATAAATGATTCACTCAACATTTACATTTCTCCTTAATCACAAAATTAAGTAATCTTTGGCTTATTTAATTTCTTTCATTGAGATTCTTGATTTGAATATAAGCATGCAATATTCAAAAATCATTTTTTTTTTACTTCATGTAACCTTTTAAATATTTAACCACAATTTAATTGTTTGATTAGGATTTAATTATATATACTTGGTTTGATAACTTTTTCTATTATTGAGTTCATGTCCTTGAAGATTTATCCTGAGTAAATTTATTGAAATAAAAGTTTGGATGATCTTCAACTTACTTTAAATTCTTACGCTGAAATATTACATCAAGATTTATCCTTAATTAAATAAATTTTTAAGTGACACATTGTTAAAGTGGTTATCCTTTAATGATGAGAAACAATTCAAAGTTGGGCTATATCTCTTGTTTTTAATAATCAATATGATCATGGATTTTGTACTCATTTCAGGCAACATAAAAATTTTGAACTCTGATATTTAGGCGGACATCAATATTAACAAGAATAATAAACACTGCTAAATCATAAATCATAAAAACTTTCAACAGTTAAAGTTTTTGATATAAAGTAATAAGACCAATGCATATTAAGAAACTCTTTAGTCTATTGCTCATTAGTTTTATTAAGGCTTGTCTTCAATAGTTAAATAATAGTTTAATTGGTAACCTTATTCTATCCCTTTTGTTAAGGATGTGTGATAGCCATATATTCTACTTATATATCGAGACTTTTACAAAAAGATTGAATATTTTTTTTCTGGTGAATTGGGTTCCATTATTAGTGATAATGCTTATAATGATGACCCCATGAGTGTTTTTTTATATAATTTATCTTTATTATTATTTTTGCTTATAGCTTGTTGTCAAAGACAAATTATAGTGAATGAGATTTTAAACAATACTCTATAAAAAAAAAAAAAAAAAGGACTATGGGTTAACAGATTGTATCTCCGATGGATCTTCAATATACCTTCTTCAAGATAATCTCTAATTACTAAAGTTACCAATTTAAAACAAGCATCATGTGATTTTTTCAATTATTTTTGTACATGTCTAATTTAATATTTAATCATTCGAGGGAGAAGCAACTTCACTAAATTGAGGTAATATACTAATCATATGTTATAAATGTTAAAATCTTCCTCTACTTGAAAAGCCACAAGCTATAAGTTGGTATAAATCACTAGATTTGGAGATTCACAATCAATGACAAATCTTAGTCTTGCCATAAGCACTTCTTATTCACCAACATCATTAGCTATAGCGACCTTTAGGATAAATCATCATTCAAATATGTTATTTTGGGGAGAGATAAGCAAGATCACTGCCTTAATACCAGAATTCTAACATACTAAATTAATGTACAATGTCCAAAAGGGTGATAAAGAGAAAGAGAAAGTGGTTTGAGTAAAAAAGGGATTATATATCAAACCATTAAATCAATAAGTAGCTGCATTCTAATATTTGACTATGAAAAAGAATGTGAATCCTAATTTCACAGTTCAACCAAATGCTACCAACTTATTGATGATGGCCTTATATCAAAGTTGCGCCTAAACATCAATGTAAGTTCCTAAATTATGGATCGTAATAATAATTTAACTAGCACAAAACATAAACTTTTTTACTCTTAACTGTTTTATAAGCAAGCTCACAGAAAATTCCATTGCATTTTTTTCAAAATCAAAATAGAGAAAAAACTCAGATTGCAATTAATTTTTGACTAAATAAAATGTCAAACCATCCCGAGAATATTCTGCTTCCAACTTCCCCTTCTCCCGTTCGTAGATTAGACGGATTAGTCGGTACCGGTAGAAACTGGCTCCAAAGATCAGTTATTTACTATTATTTATATAATTTCTTACATCACCATGCTTTTTCCCATCCCATACTGTGCGGTGCAGAAAGAAAGTTAGAACTTTTTTTGTATTAATTAACCCAAACAAATTGAAAATTCCACCAACAAAAAGCTTTGACTTTATCCTTTGTCAAACCATTACAAAACATTGAATATTCTACTTTCAGTTTTCCCCCTCCTTCTCCCACTCGCAGACAGCATACATTAAACCTTACCCAAACTGCCCCCATACGCGTTTGACCTTCTTCCTCTGACTCAAACAACCTCCCCACATCCCCTCTATAAAAATCCTTCCTTTCAACACTACGCTCCCAAAACAACCATTTTTAAAAAACTCATCTTTTCTTTCTTCACCAAATCAATTCACAGATGGAAGAGGTGGAAATCCCATCTTATTTCCTATGCCCGGTTTCTCTCCAAATGATGCGAGATCCGGTAACTCTCCCCACCGGCATCACCTTCGATCGTCATAGCATCGAACGCTGGCTCTTCTCCGACTCCAACCACAACACCTGCCCTGTAACCAAGCAGCCTCTGCCTGCATCCGTCGACCTGACTCCAAACCACACCCTCCGCCGCTTAATCCAAGCCTGGTGCGTCGCCAACGCCTCCAACGGCGTTGAAAGAATCCCAACTCCCCGCCCCCAAATCCAACTCTCCCACATCTCGAATCTCCTACTCGAAACCAAACGCTCCCCTGCCAACCACTTACCCTTCCTCCACAAACTACAGGACATCATCTCCGCCAGCGAAGCCAACCGCCGCTGCGTCGAGTCTTCCGAAGCAGTCGAATTCCTCTCCTCCATCATCTTAGAAGATCACGGCGACGAAGCTCTCGCCATCCTTCACTCACTTCAAATCTCCCCTCAGCGATTTCTAACCCTCCTGAGAAAAAACCAATCTTTTCTCGATTCACTCTTCCATGTCCTGCAACTATCGAGCTTCAAATCTCGAGCTTATGCCACGTTGTTGCTCAAGTCTGTAATTCCCTTGGTGTCACCTGCCAACCTCTCGAGTAAAATTCAGGAGGAGAAGATTCATGAGATTGTGAACGTTGTGATCGATCGAATATCCAATCAGGCCACCAAGGCTGCTCTGCAAGTTCTTATTGAGCTTTTTTCATGGGGAAGGAATAGAGTGAAGGCAGTTAACGCAGGGGCAGTTTATGCTCTGATTGATCTTCTGCTTGAGGAGGAAGATAAAAGGGTTTGCGAGCTGTCTCTTGTGGCATTGGATAAGCTATGTGCTTGTGCAGAGGGGAGAGCGGCGCTCATCGGGCATGCGGCCGGTGTGGCCGTAGTATCGAAGAAGATACTTCGGGTTTCGCAGGTGGCGAGCGAGAGGGCCGTGAGGATAGTGGAGAAGGTGGCGAAGCTTTCTGCAAGTCCTGTGGTTCTTCAGGAGATGGTGCAGGTGGGAGTGGTTTCGAAGCTTTGTTTGTTGCTGCAAGTGGAGTGTGGGATGAAGGAGAAGGAGAAGGCGAGGGAGATACTAAGGTTGCATGCTAGGGTTTGGAAGGACTCGCCTTGTTTATCTCCTCAGCTTCTTTGCTCTTATCCATGTTCGTAACTATAACCATGTTGTACATTGTTGTACACATGGGTGCAACAGTGTACAATATGATTATAGTAGGAGTCCACATACATGTTGATTCTGTACCTAATATTTTAAATAGGAAAGATAATCACGGTGTAATTGTTACTCGCACAAAAAAAAAATGTAAGCAATTGAGAATTCTATGCTAGATTTCTAAATTGTTTGTTAGTTAGAGACAAAGAGTTGATCAAATATATGATAATTTTTTTTGGAATTTTTATTATTTCTCGCATCCTTTGTTATTGTTTTGAAAAGGAAAAACAATTTAATATGAATTCTTCTGGCAATAAGATTTTGATTTATGCTCAAACTATCGTAAAATTATTGCATTAGGACACTTGTCACAAATTGTGTCAGGAGTCCAATTAAAATTGGCCACATCAAAGTTTGGACGCCACTAAAATACAATGGTTGGTTGTTGTTTAAATGTGTGAGACCCATCCTAACACATGGTCAATTTTAATTAGACATCTGATGCAAATTTACATCAAATGTCCTGATACAATAATTTTTTTTCCAAACAGGTTTAGGTAAGACGATTAACTTGGTTGGGATAGTAACCTTTTAGCTCTTATATTGCGTGTTTCAACTCATGTTGATCTTGCTGTAGGGCTTCTCTTCAACATTAATTTTGGGATTTTGAGTGCATTGCATTCAATTTAATATATATATATATATATATTAATTTAAAAAAAATGATGATTTATATATCATTATTCATTTGAATTTTTTCGTTTAATTCAGATATCCATCGTAATTAATTTTTTGGTCAAACATCTCTATTCATCTATATATATCTTCAACAAGAGTTTGGTGATCTAACTTGAATCTTAATTTGATAGATTGATGGATTAAAATATAATGATATTTTAATTACGAGACAGTACTAGATCATATATAACTCTGAAATTATATTTGACTCATCTATTTGCCATTAGATTCATGAAGAAAGCAAATCATATTCTTCCAAACCTCATGACTAACAACGCGTAAAAGATGTAATAAAACATCTGTAAATTTCTCACAGCAAAAATCACTGAAATAATTTCAGAACTTCTTCAAGCCTAACAAGTAGTTTAATTGTAGAGGTGGTTCTATCTCTCTCCCATCAGGAGAGAGAATCATAAAATATGGAGATTATCAGACTAATTAGTCTATATGTTTAAAGTACTTGCTTGCCAGTTTTTTATATCATTAGCACCAAGTGGAACCTACAATTTGTTGCCTAATAGAATCTTATATTATTAGTCACAAATAAGAAAGTATATCCTTCTTCTTTAGCTGCAACTCCACACCCTTTAGTTCCATATGCCATGTAATAATGCTAAATTGAGTTCTTACAGATCTATTAAATGTTATGATTGTCTTTAGCGCATGGAGAGATTGAAATAAAATTTGATATTTGAATTGCATAATAATGAGAAAAATGAGAGCTTTATAACATTTATACAGTCAAGAAAAAAATAGAGAATCAAAGAATACTGGGAAAAAATAGAAAAGTTATGGAAGGAGGAGTCTCTAGAACACTTCATACTCAGAGTGGGTAACTTGTAATTTTGAATTTCAATTATCTATGTTTTGAAAATAATGTGTTGTAGATACTTTTGAGAACCATTTTAATTATATTCTTTAATAAGTATTGTTGCTTTCATAAATTTCATTTAATATGCTAGAAACCTAGTAATTTTCTTACAAGAAATAGCAACATATATATGTATCAGATGTTCATTATATGCCTCCATTGCATCTTTAAGTCTGTCAAGTTAGGGCTTTGCATGGTGCCTAAAATATATATTTATAAAATACTTGGATTTTGGTAAGATCTTAGAAGTGGTTTAGCAAAGAAAGTTATAAAGATTAAGAATTGGTTAAAATAGCATATGTTGGTGTTAAATAAGAAGATGCTCTTGTTGAATGTGCATTCATTTAATAGTTTGAATTTAATTCTTATCTTAAATTGTATTCACATGGGAACATGATGGATTAGTTTTTAAATCAGCTTAATTTTTCACTAATAATGTTTTATGATACTATAAAATTAAGAACTATATGAATTGGCACTAAGCGAAAAATGATTAGAGCCAATTCTTTTTGGGAATAGTACATGAAAATATTATGTATTTAGATATGTGAAGTTGAGTATTTCATGTTTGAATGCATTTTTTGTTACAAATTCAAAAGGAATAATTTTATATTTTAATAATAACATTATTATATATTTATTTAATCATCTTTAATTTTAATTCTATTTTATTTTTTCATTATTTTGATGATCAAGCTTTTGAGTATCCGTAGTATGAAAAATCTCTGCAAATTTCTATGGATATAAAAACTAAAAAAATTGAAGTTGTATGATTCCATTAATGTATAATTCATATCTTTTTCTTTAATATAAGGTATTATATCAAGCATACTGCATACACCAGTTGAATCTTTCATTAATTTTGAGTATTCTTTTTTATATAGGTTTCGGTGATATTTGAGAGCTTGCATTCTATAATTTTTTTTCTTCTTTTATTTAATATTGAAGATATGAATATTGAATAAGCATAAATACATCTTCAATTAAATAGTGACAATCATTTATTATAAAATTATTTAAAAAGTGGTGTGGAGGACTTCTTAGTTTTCTTATTCTTACATAGTAAAGATGTATCATTCAATAAGATCAAACCTATAATGCCAATCTTAAGAAAAAAAAATTTAGACATTATATGCTAACATGAAACTCGAGGGAGTTTTAACATATTTGTTTGATTTTAATGCATCACTACTGAAAAATGAGGTATAATCGATGATAAAACCGACGACCAAAATATATGTCAGAAAAAATATACAAATTTCCTAGGGCATAGCGACGGTTTATTAGGTCGACTACATGATATATTGTAGCTCAGCTGCAGTAATATTTCTACCGACGAATTTTTGTTATTACTGACGAAATAGTCCGTCGACTATAAACAACGTCTAACTGATGACCATAGTTTGTAGGTTATTTTGGAACTCGTCATTTGGCGGGGCGTTAACCCATGAGTTTTTTTAATAAGAAATGGAAATATCTGCTAGTAATAATGTTACAAACCGACGGATCTTAGACTACTCGTAAATTGTCGATAAATGCTCTAATTTATCCCACCCGCCTGAATCCCTAATTTCCTTTCCTTCGTCCTCCCGTCCCGCTCGCGCTCGGCCTCCCCCTCGTCCTAGCTTCTTCCCTTCATTCCTGAAAGCCTCGGCCTCGGCCTCGCCCTTGCCCTTGCCCTCTCTCGAATTCGCCTATGACTATCGCCTTCACACGCAAACATTAATTAGTTCAATCGAGTACGACGGGGTCGCGACTTGCAGAGACCTGGCACTCCCATTTTTCTCCTTCTTCCACTCCACTCCTACTCGAAACCATTCATCAAGGCAACTTCTCATCTTCCTTTTCACTCAATTTTATGACTAAGGGGCTGCTTAGTTGCACTTTGGATTTACATTAAGGACGTGTTTGATAAATCTCAAATTCAAAGCAAAATAGAGAGAAAATTGGGATTTAAGAAGTTGTGAGATTTACAGAGGCATTTTTTTCATTTGGCATGATTAAGCTTAAATCCGGCATAATTCTTATTTTGAGAAATTTCTTAAGAAAACCCTCAAAGAGTATTTTTCAGTGATCATCATAAATAACATGTAGATATCATCGTCATTACCTCAAGGGGAAGGTTGTAAGTAAATTATTTGACATTTCCACAAACTTGAATAGTCTGATGTTTGATTCATTATGATTAATATCAGGAAGATGATCCCTCTAAATGCTTGTTGATGCAAGAAGTTGTCATGCAAAAGGATACAGTCATATTACACACCCAGCACAAGGCTCTAGTGGAGACAGCCTTATTGGAAAATTACTGGTGTTTTAGCCTATGTGTCATGAAAATCAAATGGAAACTAAAATAGTCATGTTGGTTTTTTTTTTTTTTGTTATTGAGTTATTCTTTATAATTTGGAACAAACTGAAGAAGTAATGTGGTTTGGAATTGGAATTGTTATCACGTCATTCTTATATTGAGTTGGGTTGATATTATTCTCTTTTGGTAATGTGTATTCTGTGAATATTTTGGCTAATGCGATGTTTGCTACGATTGACTAGCCGTTGATATATTTCCATCGTTTTGGATTGAATTTCTCATATTGAAAATTGGTGCTTCTGCTCTAATTTGGCTTTCTATTTGAGGTAGCTATTGTTTATGATGGTTAGTTTGATGTTGATAAGATTACATTTCTTCCTTGGTCTTCACTAGTTAATGAGATTGGTTTTTTTAGCTATGATAAATTCTAGCCTTCACTAAAGTTCAACCAGATTTGAATATATTTATATATGTTCAAAATCTAAGATCAATTTTAATGTTTTCGTGTAGGTAAGTTCTGAGCTCTAATTGATAACTTTTTCTCTTTGTTTCGGTGGTTTGTTTGGTGATTTTACTTACTTTTTGTGGTTTTGCTGGTATGATTTGCCTCACTATTTCTTGTGTTAATATTGTTTGATTTGTTTTGCGGCTATAGAACTTTTAAGACTTCTTTTCTTCCTTTCTTCCACTTTGAAGCTCTTAAAGTTTTTTATTTTCTCTTGTTTTTAAGATAAACCTCAAACCTAATTGTTTAAAGATGATGTTTGTTGTTTATGTTTAAATGTAGAATCTCAAAATATTTAAAAAAAAAAGATTTACATACATACCACTATATTCCTACGTAAAATACATGAAATGTAATTTTAGTAGCAGTAGCTCTAATGACAGAGATGATCAAATCAACAAAAGGTGTGAACAGTTTAGATATCTAGAGTCTCTTGTTCAAAATGATGGTAATATAAATGGGTATGTTATTAGTAGAATTCAAGTTAGTTGGTTAAGGTGGAGGAATATATCTGGTCTATTGTGTTAAAGAAAATGTCACTCAGGCTTAAAATAATGTTTTATAATATGGTTGTTATGGTGGTGAAACCTATAATGTTCTATGTCGCATAATGTTGGCCTTTAGATTAAAGGACTGTTTGGTTGCAAGCAGGATTTACTTTGAATAGGATTTAGTAAATCCTGCAAATTTAAAATTATCAAATTCAGAGATGGTTAAATCTTGAAAAGTATTTTGCATGTAAGATGATATTTTTGGTGGTACGTAGTGTAGGGC